AAAAAGGTGATGCCGGTTCCCACGAACCAGTGTTGGTTACCCTCCCTATGACTGGCAAGGCCAAACAGAAAAGAGGAGGTATGGCAAAGGTTATTTGTCGCAAATGTGGCAAGATGGCGAATCAAGCAAAGGAGCTTGCTACGCTGTCCTGTGAAAAGTATGTGGCCGGCAATGGCCCCAAGAGGAAGAAGATGCTGGCAAGGCTCCGCGCTTGTCTCAACAAAGCGTCCATCAGTGATGCTCTCAAGGATGGTGCCCGTACAGTTTTGAACATTATTGACTCAGGCAAGGGAAGCTCCAAAGACACTGCGCCCAAACACCATATTGAGGCACTTGTCTGGCCGGTAGATTTCACGGTCCGTTTTGCTTGCACGAGATGCAAGCGGTGCATGAAGGACGAGAAACATTTCCGTGGAATGTCTTGCGCCAACAGCACCGTTTGGAACCAAAAGAGAAAAGGCAACAAAGACGCCTTGCTGGAGCTCGCCAACAAAGAACCTGGGGCGAGGCAGAGAGCGGCGCTCCGTGCTTTGGAGATTTTGGGGTTTCAGCAAGAGGAAGGTGATTCTACGGACCAATGACGGGTACGTCTAGCACTTTAAGGTTGGGAACTATGAATGTCCGGTCATTGAGTGGCCGGTTGGGTGGCGTTTTTGAGTTAGCAAAGACTGAGCAGATCGATGTTCTTTGTTTGCAAGAAACTAGAGTCAATGTCGACAGTTGGAGCGCTGTCAAGTCAGCTGCAAACCAGCGAAAGTGGCAAGTTTTTCCTGGCGGCCAAGGGGTAGATGCCAAGAATGTGGTGATTGGCGGGACGTTAGTTTTGTCAAAGTGGCCTGCTGAAGCGTTGGCCATTCCAAGTCAGTTTGCACCGGCTGACCGTGCCATGGCGCTGAAGCTTTTTCGACCTCACCAGCGACCGCTTCTTCTGATCAATGTGTACCTACATGCCAACGATCAAACAGCTGCTGGCCACGCCTTGGCTGCCATTTTTGAATACGTTGCTATGCTGGGCGAAGAAGCAATCATTGTGGGCGATTTCAACAGGGAAAGGCATGTTTGGCCGGCCTCCACCGCGCTGGCGTCGGGGCAATGGTATTCTTGCGATGAACAAGTCTGCGGAGACCAGATTGGCCCTGGCACCCATCGCAACTCAGATGGTGAATACACAGGGGTGGTCATTGACTACGCGCTTTCAACTCCCAGAGTTGTTGTTTCCGGAAGAATGCAGTCTTTAGGTGTTGCTGACCATGATGCAGTCATTTACGATATACATGTGCATGGTAGTTTACCCACGCCTTGGAGATTGCCGGCAAGCGCACCACTCTTGCTTTGCAATGTGGAGGTTGAGAACTGGAATGTTGCTTGGGCAGAATCACAGCAAGATTTCACCGATGCTCTGGCCGTCGGAAATGTGGATCAAGCTTGGGTGGTCCTGAGCAACTGTGCTGAATCTTTGCTGCTTGCACAAGGCAAGCCCAGCAGGGCATCAAGGGACGGCCCGCACAAAATGGCGAGCCCCCCATCAACCAAAGCTCCTACGTTGCAGACTTTGGAGGAGCGAAAGCTGAGAAGATTTGCACGGCGGGTGGTCGAATATCAAAAGGCTCCTTCGCCGCAATTGCAAACCAAGCTGTTGCGCGATGCTCCGCTTTTGCACTCGTCTCTTACTGCGTTTTCTTTATCTGATGGTGGTTTGGCTCCCGCCGCTTTGCTTCTTGCAGATGAGGTGGCCAAAAAGGCGTCTCAGCGACGCCTTGCTGCTTGGAAAGAGGACATTCAAGAAAATGTTGCGAAACTGGGGAAGTGGGTTCAGCAAAAACCACCTGATCCACCTACAGCAACACAGGTCGATGGTCCTATTTTGCCTGAAGATAAGGCAAGACAGGAGGCAGCTGCGTGGCACACGCATTGGAATCCGGACCACCTCCCACATTTAGACCAGGTTTCAAATTTGTGTTTGCAGCTCAACAATCAGGTCGACCCAGTCACGCCTGAAAGCATTCAAGTGGTTGGGGCTGATTTGGCGCGTTCTGCGTTGAAAGCTAAACAAAAAGCGGCTGGTATGGATGCTTGGACTGCGGCTCATTTGTGCAAGTTGCCGGAGTCCTTTTGGAATCACGTTGCAGTCTTGTGGTCGGCGTGCATGCAGTGTGCGAAAGTTCCTACAATGTGGAAAGATATTCGCATAGCCTTGATTCCAAAAGCGGCCGGGGGTCTGCGCCCACTTGCCATCACGACGGTCCTGTGGCGCATCTGCATGAGTGCAACTTTGCAAAAGCTCCGACCATGGATACAAGAATGGGCCTTGCCTCAGCTTTGTGGCGGCCGTCCAGGAAGAGGCATTATGGATGTTCATGAATTGCTCTACGAAGACATTCGTGCTGCCAAACGTTCAAGAGTTGATTTTGTTGGCTGCAAGGCCGATATCCGTAGGTGTTTCGATTCGGTTTGTCCAAAGACTGCACTTGCTATTTGGCGCTGGTTGGGTGCTCCGGCCAGTTTGTGTGACATGGTGGAAAATTTTTACACTGACCAACGCAGGTGGTTTGCCTGGCAAGGCATTTTCCATTCAGAGCCCATTTGTGCTCGGCGGGGGCTGCTGAAGGGCTGCCCGGCAAGCCCAGCCTTACTCAATGCGGTGATGGTAGTCTGGGTGCGCTTCGTTCTTTTGCAAGAGCCTCGTGTTTCTCTTGCAGTTTATTTGGATGACCGCACAATGTGGAAGAAAGGTGTGAACGGCATTCACGTGGTCACCAACGCCATGCAGGCAGGTGCGCAGGTTGATGCAATTCTGGGCATGGAACTCCATCCTGACAAGTTAAATAGTTTCACAACCAAGCAACATTTGACGCCTCAGCTGTCACAGATACAGGACGTGTTGGGGGCTCCTTGCAGCAAGTTCACGCTTCTGGGTATTCAGTACAATTTGGAGCGTGCAGGTGCTTGTGTTAATGCAGAGAAGCTTTCCTTTGACATTCAGGAGAGGTGTCGCAAAATCAGGTTGGCAGCGAAACGTTTGGGCACCCGCAAGACCTTGCTGGGACAGTTGGTGATCTCTTTGTTTGCATGGACAGGAGCTTTTCACCACTATGATGTTGATACCATCAAGAGTTGGACCTCCAGTATTGAAGCGGCGGTCTGGGGGCGCAAGCCTGCCCCAGGTCGCAGTAGATTGCTGTTCTGGAACTCTTTGGGCACACCGCGTTTGCATCCTGCTTTTGCGCTTCACTTTGCTGCAGCCCGGGCTGAATGGCAGCGCCAGTGCCGCTTGGCCATAGGTGTGCCCGCCGCTGTTTCGCCAGGCCCAAGGTGGAATACTGTTTGCAAAGACTGGAATTGGCGTGTTGAGGGTGGTTTGTGGATCACTCCCGTGGGGACTTTGAAACCAGGGTGGATGTCTTCTTCAAGCTTATACAAAGCTGCTGCTGCAGCATGGCTGGCTTTTATGTGGACGAAGGACACCAAAACGGAGGGTCCTTTACCTGAAGGTAAGTTGCCTGTGTTCCAATTCCAGGCCAATGTGGCGCATGATTTGAACTATTGTGGTCGCAGAGTCTTGACAGGTGCAGCAGTGGATGGGAGAGTTACTCAACGTTTGGAAGTCGACTTGCAGTGTGATTGTGGTTTGAGCTCTCCTGATCGTGAGCATTTCACTTTCTACTGCGAGGCAAATCCTTGGCATGGTGATCTCAAAACTCCAACTGAAAGGCGGTTGCTTGTTCCTCTTGTGGATGCTCCAGCTGTTCTTCCATTTGAAGATATGACGGCCGACCCCATTCTGGTGGCTTTTCTACAACAGTTTGACCCACATCAAACGCCGACTTTGGGCTTGGATGGAAGTTGCGCAATCGCTCCAGGGTGCGAACTTTGGCAGCGTGCCAGCTGGGCTGTGGCGGCACATCTCGGGCCCACGGTCAATGGGTTGGTGCATGGTTTCGAGCAAACTCCTGCTGCGGGCGAGAGAGGTGCACTTCTTCAAGCCTGCTTGGCTTCCCATGAAGCGAACAGAGCGGTGCGCTTGCTGATTGACAACCAAGCTCTTGTGCAACGTCTTCATCGTGGCATGCGGCTTGGTCAGTGGGGTGGAGATCTTTTTCCATACTGGCATTATATCAGGATGCTTTTGGTTGATGGCTCTTCTTGTGCTTGGATTCCCTCGCATAATAAAGTTCCTCGATGGCGCCCACCCGAAGGGTGGCTTGATGTTTTGCGTTGCCGCATGCTCAATTCCAAAGCGGATGCTAGCGCGGCTGATCTTACAGGTCAATTTCGGCAGGTGATTGCTACCTGTTTGTCACAACACAGAGAGGCAGTTGTTTGGGCTGGAGAAGCTTGGAAGGCGCAACTAAAGGGTTCTCTTCCCTACTGGCAAGTTTTGCTTGAACACGAACCACGTCAAAACAGGTCGTTTGAATGAGCGTTTGCTGCTTCTTCAGCTGCATGGGTGGTACTTTTCTTGGCTTGAACTTGCCCTCCGGTTTGTTCAGTGCAAAGAGCTCCGGCTCTGCGTTGGCAATTTCGGCGTCTTAACTACTTCACTTCGGTGAGGAGCAGGTTGACGTCCTCCTCCAATCCAATCCAAGCCCATTTATATCCAGCGGGCATGGTGCATCTTCGAGTGTTATGTCTCTTGCTCAGTTTGCCGGTTACACGTTTGGGCATGGGACAAATGTATTCAACCATGGGACACCAACAGGTTTGGGAAATTGATCATTTTTTGTGCCACAACCACTCAAACTTGGCCAACACTCCTTAAACTGTATCACATTTGTTCTGGTGTATAATCTCTGCCTGTTGTTGATTACTCTAAATATACGATTACATCCATTTTTCACACAGTAATTTTGCAGCTGTAGGCGAGAAGGTTTAAAGTCAGCCCTACACTAACCGTGGTTTGGTCTTGGTCCTTTGTGTTGGTCCGTATATTTCATTTCAAATTTCATGGTAGCAGGGAACATTTTTTGACAGAAGGCAGTTGCCAATGACTTGGGGCTGAGGTGTGCATTGAGCAAAAGTTTTCCATGACCATTATCCTTTCAGAATCAGCAGAGGCAATTCGGCAGACACCAAATTACGGAGGAGTGGGCGAACTCTTCCTGTCCTCAACCTTTGAATGCCGCCCATCAATGGTGGAATCCAACAGTTCCCTTACATACCCCAAGGTGCTGCTTCCAGTCAAAGCGAAATGACAACGAATCGCACGTGCGAAGAGAGCAAGTGCCAGACACGATCAAACAGATGACAAGATCGAATGTTACAACTCGGCTGCCAAGGAAACGAATATAGCAAATCCAAGTTTGTCGAAAACCATACCTACTAGTAAATAACAATTTTCGTCATTAGTCCTTTGGTTATGCCAATTTTGAGCCAATCCCAGCTGAGGCAAGCTTCAAACGTGCTTTGAGCCACAGCTATTTGCAAGAAGTGCGAGCCGGTTTGGGTGCCATGGACGTTCGGGGTGCCAAAGCCACGTCTACAGCGGACGAAGATCTGATCAAACGGCTCATCTTGAAGCTGGGCAAGGCTTAGGGTTGAACGGCTGTGGGACCAGGGACTTCGCCATTCTTCCCTGTCTGCCACATCACGGCCTTCAGATTTGATCAGATATGTCAGATCAAATGTGGGGATATATGTCACTTGGTGGGGGTCACTTGAAGTAAAGTAATTTGAGGGATTATGTTGACCCGAAACATTGGTCAACATGTTTGGGGTCCAAAATGGATGGCTCCACCGTCAAACTAAGAGGGTTCTCCTCTGGCTGGATGTTTTTTTTTGGAAACCGGTTTCCAGAGTATGAGGAGGATAAAGCAACGTTTGCTCGAAAAGCGTGGGTTCACTTCTGAAATTTCGTGGATCAGAGAGAGTCCTCCAGTCATTTTTCTGGGTGTGCGAATTATGAGGACCTCACAGGGTTTGAGCGTAACGGCGTAACAGCGCAAACACAACGCGCTGCACATAATCCTATCACCAATGTTTTGCTGCAGGTTAAAAAAACCAAATACAATTCAGCTTCGCAAATTCATCATAACCAAGTCCACTCATGTCAGACCTGTGATGTGCGTGCAAGGACAAAGCATTTACTTTCAGAACCATTAAGAACATCTTTCAACAAGTAAAGGATGACCAGCTTGCCTTGTCAAAACCTTCACCGCAGACAAAACATGGGTGTGGAACAAAATTTTTGATCCCTAAAAAATGGATGTGGCTGAAAATGGGAAATTCCCTCCAAACAGCAAGTTTAATGGTAAAATGATGATAATCCATGGGATTTTGGGGAACATATTTTAAACAAAACCTAAATGGATGATTCCCAGTCCCAAAAAAGACTTGAGAACTGTACGATTTTGAACTTCCGGTCATGTCGGGCGGAGGAATTCCATCGGCTTTGACAAATTGAACTAGACGGTGCGTGCTCGCCTGGTAGAGCGGTTGGTGGGCATTGTGGGGGAAGAGATGGGCAGCTAAGCATTCCGGAAGATCTGGCACCCTTAGTAGGGCACAGTGTGAAGTGAAATGACGTACGTGGGGGTGCAGGCCAGGGGTTATTAATGAATGTCATTATGGTAATAACCTCCAAAAGTTGGGATAGAATATTTGCAACTACAGTCATATAACCTACTTATTGGTGGAAATGCACCCCCCTGTACTTCGTCGTAAAACGTGAATCCAAATGGATACTCCCGGTATCCCCAAGATTTAAGTCAATTTTGCAGCTGCTGCTGACCATTCAGGGTGGGGTCCATGGGTCGAACTCCCAACGTTTTATCTAAAAATGAGACCCGCTGGAGGTCATGTTTAGTGACCTGGCGCGGGAGCGACTTTTCCCAAGTTGAGACAACTTGTGGCCGTCAAGTTGTGATTGGTTCATATGGTTACCCCCGAAGAGTTATTCTTCACTATTTTGGTGGGATTTTGCTTTTCTATCTATCTATTTGCGAACGGCTACACATGGTGCTTGATTTGCAAGTTCCCGCGCCAAATGTGCAATCCTTTTTTGTCTAGGCAGCCTGCAGTCCAATCTGGATTCGGTTCCAGGTGCAGTTTTACACCTGGAAAATCGGTTGTAAGCTACAAGGTGGGGCCCCCCAGTCGTAGGTTGGTTAATAAGCCCATTAACTTTTACTTTTTAGTTCCCCAAACCCTAGTTACGTTCCTACTTATAGTTGCAATTCAACTCTTCAAGCTGACAATCCTTGGACTGCAGGATGCATGCCACTCACTGCAGCCTTGCGCTGTTCACGAGTCCCGGGACCCATTTTCCCTGTGAAATCATCCAACATGTGTCTCCTGGGTGAGAGTTTTGAAACCGCTTCCTGCGCTCTCTTGCGAATTTGCTGCATGTCGGCAGATAACCAGTTTATCTGCATGGAACTTTTGTAAAGTGACAACAAATACAGTAAAGATGTTTCGCTTTATTTGAGTCTTTCCTATTTCCTAGGATTATATACTGTAGAGCTTTCCAAAATCATCTGAACTTGGTCATAATTGTAACTTTTATCTTTTTGATCGATGTCGAGGTTTCCAAGTTTAGGAAACTCATGTTGGATTAGAGTTCCAGACACACTTCTGAACTTTGTGCGAAAGTGAGCTTGGTGCAGCGGGGGGTCAGGAAACGAATTCATTCGTGTTCACGTATTGTGTTTTCAGATGTGGTAAAGCTGATTAAGTTGAACCAATTTCATCAGAAATAGGTGACAGTGACAACAAAAGAATGGACTGAGTTTATTATTGGGTTAAAAGCATTGCACGTCTAATTCCATCTCACTATCTAGATCATCGAGGTAGATCCAAGTGGTTGTGCCTTTCTATATGTGGCTCTCCAGGTTGATTTGGGCTTTTAATATGGGAACATATAGGATAATCACGGATAGTATGGGGTATTCTATGGCTTTTATGGTGGAAAAACTTGGAGGATCATCCTGGGTAACTGAGTGTTTCATGGCAAGACTTGGGGGATCATCATCTTCATCAATGGGGTCGATCAACCCAAGGGGACTTGTTAGGCAGGGTTTTTGGGGTTGCGATTCCGATGGCAAGAAAAAATCGCTGATGTTTGCTGTACGAAAATCTTAGGCACCAGACATCTAATTTCTCCAATCTTTAACTCATCTTAGTCTCATCTAGGACTTTTATTTTGAGTTTTTGGTTCCAAGCAACTCCACTGTGTGCCCCGCCCAGGTTGAAATTCACAAGATGTGACTGTTCCAGGCTCGGCAAACGACGCAAGGACCCAAAGTTTGAACCCCAACAGGGACTGTTGGGAAAAACTATGACACACACACACACATACACACAGACAGACACGCACCTAGTGTTTCGTGTTTTTCCTTTTGAATTTGGGAAAACTCACTTCAAGTCTCACTTCTTTGCTTGTTTTGGATCTTAAACTAGGGCACCCCAAAATCATCCAACATCTCATGCTTGATCATCAGATCTGTTCCAGGCTCGGAGAGTTTGATTACATTAGTTCCTTCCTGCTTTTTTCCAATACGCACCAAACAACACCCAGGGTTTAGTATTGGATCTGTTCATGAACTGGGGTTCGTGACTGGAGGTAATGTATTAATGGCTATAGATTCTGATTTCAGGATGGTTTTAACTATCATACGTGGCCATTTTTCACGGGTGTAGACTTCCTCTTAGCCAGAAACAATCCCAAATCATTCCATTTGATGATTATGATATCATCGAATCAGCTAATGGTAGGGGCATAGGTTTTTTTTATTTGTGATTTCATTCAACTTGGTTCTCAACATGGTGACGACGCGTAAAAAGTGTCAAGGATCGAGCTCTTGGAGATGATACGAAGCCACTAGATGGCATGGACCTCCAATACCATTATATATTAAGAAGTACTAATCTGGTAAATCAGCACTCAAATACTTCTTATAATTCTTATTATCTCAGACTTTATAATCCATTACAGTATCAGACATCCATGACTATCCCAGATTAGTCGATTGTCATAGGCATAGTCCCCTCAATATCCCAGATTCATCAAGTATGATAATCCCTGACTAGTCAGATAAATCAACTATCAAAAACCCCTGACCAGCCAAATGAATCAATTGTGATAGCCCTTGACTATCCCAGGTCAATTGAATATGATAAGCCCTGACCCAGCCCAGATTAATCGATTATGAACATCCAGTTGCAGATAATCGATACTCTTCGGTCAATTGGACATCCCCTATAAATGGAGGCTTTATACGAACATCATCTATACATGGTGAGTTTGTGCAGCTGCATTCTAAGAGTGCATCTATCCAATTGTTGAGAGTTCAGTCAGCCAGACAGCCCATGTAACTGGGATGGTCTTGAAGCAGCCACAGGCCACGGGTGATTAGTTTGGTTTGATTGATGAGGAACGCAAGTTCAGTGTTTGATATATGATATTATGATTCTGTTGATAGGGTACCCACCGGATATTGATAGAAGATGGCTACAGATTGATGGAATACCCGCCGGATGCTGATAGAAGATGATATAAGCATATGTTTTCTGGTTGGTGGTTTCAAACATTTTTTATTTTCCATAATATATGGGATGATCCTTCCTTCACCCCCTTTTGACTGAAAGAAGCAGGTGAGGAATTCCGCTGGCCGCGTCGCAAAGCTCCAGGCTGCCGATGGTGTGCGCAACAGGTGGCAGAGTTTCAATAACAGTTTATTTTTGGATTGTTTATAGGGGATATTTAAAGATAAGGGATTTTTATTGAAACTCTGCCATATCAACAGTTAAAAAATATTTTTGGATGATATCAGTTGATTGATAGGGCATTTTTAGGGGATGATATTTGGTCAAACATCGTCCACAGTTTACAGATCAGCACTTTTAGGGAATTTATCATTTTTGTGGGGGTAAACATTCGCGAGAACTATGCAGTTTCTGGGCGATTTTCAGGGCTCAAATCTGCCTCAGTTGATTGTGTTCACAGCACCAATCAATGCTTGCCTGTCCTATTCTCACCCCATTCGGATATACAAGCCATATACAAGCCATATACAAGCCATATACAAGCCATATACAAGCCATATACAAGCCATATACAAGCCATATAGCTGGGGATCTTCCATATATTCTACTTGGGGTATTACATTTATTGGTTTTACCCTTGTGGCAGGCCCAAGCATCGCTCCGAGGCATGCCATGAGGCGACGACACCGACTCGATCTTAGCAACTTGGCGGTGTCGAATGGACATATCTCGATACGAGTGAAAATAACCACAGCCCCAAAGGATTGTTAAAGATGGTTGATGATTGAAGGTGGGAAATTCCGAATCTATATTAGTGATCATTTTATACGTGTCTATCTTTGTGGCCGGTTGCTCTAGTATAGTTTTAAATGGTCTATGATGGTTTGGTGTGGTCTAAGATCCCCGGATCCCCACATCACAAATCATATGTTTTCTGACCCGAGCATCCGTGGGGCTGCGCAATTTCGACTTGTACAATGTGTTGCCCCATAGTTCGCCAAGTGAGTTTTAAACCAGGCAAGTTCTATATCATCATGATATATCGAACTGGG